CATCTTCAGCTATTCCAAACGTACAAGACACTAACTGTATTGACTTCCTTCCAATTCATCTCTAGTGTGATTAAATAGCGATCACACCACACTTACCTATGTAAAATGCCAATCGCCACTTATTAGAGAGGTTGCATTAACTGAAACATTTCTATCATTCCACTAATTTTCCATAATTACAGAATTTCTACCATTTCAGGAGTTTCCTGTCAGTAAAAAAATTGTGATAGGGATTGAAACTGAAGAAAAAGGAAGACAAAAGTCTTAAAGTGCTCTCTTTGGGGAGTCGAATGATAGAAACAACATTTGATTTTGGATATTGTTGATTAAATCAGGTGAGCAAATTGCAAAAGTGAATTTTCTTACTACTTTTTGTAAGAATATTTTATATGAATACTACAATTACATATTTATTACATAATAATTACATTTCACTTAGTGGAACATGAACAATAAAAACGCATTCGCATTTATATCTTCAATAAATCCATTTGAGACCATACCGAGATCATCTTGGGTGAATTTAAACCTGGCTTTTTAACGTGGTCAGTTGTGATCTCAACACAAAACACAAGAGTCATGACTGATTTGCAAGAGAATGATAAAAAAAGATTTTAGATAACGCGCACACATCCAGGTTTAAAAACCATTTTTCACAGCAGAATTGCATGTTAGTTTTAGTGTGTAACAATGCGTCCGTCAGTTTTTCCTGGCACAGTGGGCAGAATCAGCTTGGATTCTGCCTTGAGGGTCATGTGGGCACAGCTTGCCACTCAAACACACACACACACACACACACACACATAGAGAGAGAGCGAGATAACCTGGATGCATATCTGTGGCTTACTGAGTTGAGTGGAGTGTGTTGGTGGGGGAGCTGGTCTCTGGTCTTTCTGCCATCTGTGAGAATTTTATGTCACAGTGCATCAATATGCCAACCACTTACATTTCGCTCGCTCTCTCTATCCTCAATATATGGGATTGTCAGTGTAGTCTCATCTAGACGTGTCAGCTGAAAGCCTCTATCAGACATGAGAGTCATATACAGTGTGCAATATATGAAACTACAACAAATGGAATACGAAATACAACAAAGCCTTCCACAACCTAATACTGAACTGCATTTCTGTTTATTGCATCTCCCACAAACACCCAGACCCTCTTTTCAAAGGCAGTACAGAGTCTTCATCTACGGCTGGCTGTCCTAATATGCTTTCATGAGTGAAAGATACAAAACCTTGGCTAACACACAACATTCACTGGCGATGCAATTCAATCTATTTCTCTGTCAATTTGCGGCTTGCATGAAACGAATGAGAGGTAAATCTCTCTTTTCAATTATGAATGTCTCACTCGTCTGAATTGATTATTTTTGAAATGGATGCTCCATTATTCATTATGGGGATCGGTTAATGACATGTGAAAATGCAATGGAAAGCAGAGGGTGTGTAAAAATGGTCCTTCTGCACTTACTGTAGTCTAATAATGGATTTCACATCACAGATTCTTTATTATATATCATGAAATTACTGTTGGACACAGTGGAATCAATCTAATGCAAATTGCTATTAAAATTACATTATTACTTGTAGGATGGTCATCACTAATTCAATCTGTGTCATCAGGCATGATTTTATATCTTTGTATTTCTTTACTATAGACCACTGTATTGTCCGCATATCATCTGCACTCTAAAAATAAAAGTTCCAATTAAAGCCAAGAAGGGTTTTTCAGTCTGACATTGTGTCAACCCTGGAACCTTTGAGACTACACATGGACCAGTCTGCTGTAAGTGTAAGACTAGAGCTCAGCAACAGTGAAATGGGAGAGTAATGTATCCCACTGACTTCTGAAATGTAACAAATGATGTCTATCTGAAATGTACTATATGAACACACTATTGCTAAATTTGGTTGTCAAATCACTTGCAGTGTTTAATGCTGTTCTGTACATACACAATTCAGTAACTTACAGGAGTAACAACCGCATTCTATAACCAAACTGACTCCTGAAAAATACAGATAGTGAAAAGTGCATTTTCAGAAATTCTACACAGTGTTTACGAAACCAAACAACTAGTTGTTAATGTTGTATTTAAAAACACATATTAGAGTTGTGGTGCAAAAAATGACATGAAAGGAGGTATGTCTTGACTCAATGTTGCCATATCTTGCCATAACAAAAACAGCAAATCAGAGCAAACATATAATAAACTTAAATCCAAACAGGTTATTTTTTCTTTTGTATTTTGAGATCATTTCATGGTACTAATTAATATTTATGCAATAATTATGATACATTTTTTTCCCATTGAAAATAATACAACATTTTTTTAAATATATATTTTTATATTACTTTTCAGTTAATGTAGTATTTCATGTTAAAATAGAGTGAATGCCTTTAAAATCCAATTTTTTAAGCCTGATTAGTGCCATCTAGTGGGAGTAAAATAGGAAAAACATCTGCAATTCCATGGTTTAGCCCATCGATTTCTATATAGCTCTATATAAAAGGCCTATAAATTCTCTAATTGTTTTTAGACATAAATACTTATTTTTATTAAGTTGTGGGTTTAGATATATATTTAGATATTCAATGTTGATTTGAAGCGTCAGTTTTTAAATTATTATTACTACAGTCAAACCTGAACACAGAGAAAGCATTTTGCTACACAAAACATTAAAATTCTATAAAAATTTAACAAAACTGAACAGGAATGTTTTATCAGAGCTTAATTCTTCTGGGTCTGATCTGATTTCGGTTTTCTGACTCGTTTTGGCTATATGGTTATAGCCATACCAATTCATTTGAGTGTGTGTAATTGTGTATGAGTGTGTGTCTGTGAGTGTGTGTGTGTATGTGTGTGCATGGATGTGTCTGTTTTGCACTCTTGATGTTTTAAAGTGTAACCCCTTCCTTGCTGTCCACTTCTTTTGTTACAGTCACACCAGTTTATAGGTGTGTGTGTGTATAAGTATGTGTATGCGTGTGTGTGAGTGGATGTGTTGGTTTTGCACTTGATGTTTTAGAGTTTCACCCCGTCATTGCTGTGTACTTTTTTTCTGCATTGTGGCAGATTTTTAAATTGTACACAAAAATATTCTCTGACTTTTTGTCAATTTCCCATTCATTTCCTATGGTCGGTCATTTTTGACCGAAGACCTCAAGTGTGACTATTTTTTTTATGACCACTTAGCCTGCTCGAATCATGCCCTCAATTTTTTTGTGTGTTCACATTCCAAATGCTATAAAAGTCACCAAGTTTCGAACAATTCAGATGAAGCTGTGATTTAAAAAATTCAAAACAGAACATTTTTCAGTCAAAAGTGACCGAAGAGCACCAGAATCACTGAACATAAGTTTTTAGTTGCTGTAATATTACTTCGGTCAAAAATAGGGGATACCAAATGTGCAAGATGGTAAAACAGTCTGTTCCGTATACACACAAAACTGTAATTTAGGGGATTTACTCCTGTAGCAAGCACAAAAATGATTGTATAAACAGACCCATGTTATGCAGCTTAAGAGTGAATTAGCAAAGAGGAGAATTAAAAGGATAAGTTAGGCAGGTGTTATTTCCACTGGTGCAATGTTTTAAATGTTTAAGTCAATTGTTTTGGTCTACCTCCGTATGTGGTTTCCCAAATTTATTGGAAATATGTGACTTGGTACATTTCGCTGCACATTTTCACTGCATGTGAGTTAATAAAAAAAAGCTGTGTTTGTTGGTATTTTTGCTAAATGATCATGTTTCACTACACTTTCAAAGTAAAATGTTTATTGACTGTTGGTAAAGTGTGTTAAGTTTTCTCTAAACAATTTAAATGTGATTGTGGCAATGTATTATTCCATTGTTATACGTATCAGAGCAGTTTGGAAATTATATGTGGCATTAAAAGGTTAATGCTCCATTATTAATCAATTATTTGTGATTATAGCTGGAAACTGCAGTGAAATATGCAGGTAAGTTTTTTTTTGTAGTTTTGAAGTCACGTATTTCCAACGAGCCTAGGTTGGGTTTCAGTGATCTGATCACAAAGTGTTTTTGACTCCAAGCATCTTAGGGCCTATGGGTTCTTTACAAGAGAAATCATTGCTGAAGACAAATTCAAAATATTGAGAAAATCGCATTTAAAGCTGTCCAAATTAAGATCTTAGCAATGCATATTACTAATCAAGAATTAAGTTTTGATATATTTACGGTAGAAAATTTACTAAATATCTTCATGGAGCATAATCTTTACTTAATATCCTAATGATTTTTGGCATAAAAGAAAAATCGATAATTTTGACCCATGCAAATGTATTGTTGGCTATTGCTACAAATATATCTGTGCTACTTCTGACTGGTTTTGTGGTCCAGAGTCACATGTATTAATTAAAGTTTAAAAAATTTTTAGTAATCAATAATTAAATTTTTTTTTCAATTAACTGATTAATCAGTAACTGATATATATATACACACACATTTTAAATTAAAAACAAACAAGTTCCACATCCCAAATATAGTGTATATATGTATTCTATGCTAACATCATGTGCAAACAATTGATACTGTTTTACCTTTATATCCAATTACATATTATCCATTTATAGCTACTATTCTCCTAAAATTCCATTACATGTATAATTTTAATGTGCAACAACTATTTCAGCAAAATCCATACTTTTGGGCTAAAAATAAATTGCTGTCCCTTTCTGCTGCGCTCCGCCAGTTTAATACAAAATTTGTTGTTAATCATTTCCATTATTCTTTTTTTGGGGGATTATTTTGTCCAGCCCTCAAGAAGAAATCTTTTTACTTCAGAAGAAAAAAAAAAAAAATCACAAGTTGACCTCTAGAGTATCTGACTAGTCAATTGCTGGATGACTAGTAGACCATCCTGGCCCACCCGTAATTTGTGTAAAAGTATTGGCTAAACAAAAGAGTTGGAAAATTTGTATGAACAGTAGCGCGCACACACACACACACACACACACACACACACAGATTGACTGACCAGCTGAATGAGGAGATTGTTTAGGTCTGTCAGTGGCTTGTTGATGAGCAGTACTTCCTCTGCAGCCTCAGTGTCTTCATTACTGTCTGATCTCTACAAAAAAGAGAAAGAGAGAGAGCATTATTAGATCGAGAAGAGAAAACAAGAGGGAGAAAGCAGGGGAAGCAAACGAAAGAAAATGAGGACAGTCAGTCATTGGGGGGATGCTTAGTGAAGAGAACTTAAGACCCAACACAGCAGAGGATTGAGCGTCTGAGAGATTCCTGCTCATTTAATCATCACAGGAAGTACAGTAGCTTGAAGCTGGTGCTATTTTTAACAGAGACGCTCCTCAGAGGTGCTGGGGTCTCTGCACACTGCCCAGCTCTGCTGCCGGAATGGAACAATGCGTACAGCTCGCTGTCTACCAACAGCCACAACATCTTATTCTTTAGTAACAGCTGTCAGAGAGAGACAGACAAAAACAGGCAACAACAGCAAAAATGCATAAGAAATGCAAACTTTGTTACCCATCAGCCATCAGCGAGAGCAGCCGTGCTAGTCTGGTTCAAAAGTTCACGCCGCTGTCTCCAGCTGTCTTATTCTGGCTAATATTTCAGTGAATGTGAGTGTCTGGGATCCTCAAGCAGATTGACAGACCGGGGCAATGAGATTACAGCAAGCCTTCGCTTAATAGGACTGCAGCTTTTCATAATTAAACTCCCTTCACTCATTTCAAATATTAATGATGGAGCTCGGGTTGACATCGTGAGAGAAACCGTGAACGCGAGAGGGAAGGACAGTCTGCGCAGTGGGAAAAGTGCTGGGGAACGTCTCGCTCATCATTATCACCCAAATGAATTTGGGTTGCACGGACACTTTTTAATAAGCTTTGCATTTCTCTCTTTCTGTCGCTGTCTCTTTTTTTTTCTCTCGGAGAACTGAATTCCATTACACGCTCTTTTTTTTGCAATGTCCGTGCATAAATATGTATGGAAGGACGCTGAGTGAAAGAAAAAGGCCTTAGGTGGATAATGAGGGTTGAGGAGGAACTGACAGGGGAGTGACTTCCTGAGAGTCCTGTGTGCCACATATCTGACTTTAAAGTGCTGTTTACCATGGGTCTGCTGAAGCACACCAGTAAAAATAGCACCGGGAACTATTAGATGTCAAAGTGCTGGAAATTGAACACGAACGCTCGCACGCGCGAGCGCACTCGGTAACTCTGACAAAGATGTCCGCTGGAGTAATTATGGGTAAAAGGTGTGGTGGATCTACTCGGAGTGAGTGGCTGGATGTATGCTGCTGGTATCTGCATAGCAGTTGTCATTGCATAACAATCTAATCATCAGTGAGGAGAGGATCCAGACATGAACCCCCTAAAAGCATGCCTACGGCGACAGTAGCAGGCAAGCACTCCCTGAGGATGGGGGGGATGGGGGGTGTACGGAAAGGAGGAAAGAGAGAGAGAAACGAGAAGAACAGCTCAAGAAATGAGGGTGACAGAGTGAGAAATGTTTACAAACAAGAGGATGGGACGGCGAGGGCGAGAGAGGGGAAATTAAATATGAATGTATAACTACTGGAATGAGAAAAATAGGATGAGAGAATTAAGCTGACTCTGACATGAGAAACGAGAAAGACCAAGAAAAATTAAGATAGGACATCTGGATTTAAAAAAAGAAAAAATATTTTTCTATGTATTTTTATTTTCTTGATTTTCTTGAAATAACTGAAATTGATTTTCTGAAAACTTTGTATCACACTCCAACACTGGACAAAATGGGGATGTAATTTGGTTTACTGAAGATGTAAAGATTTTTTGCTCAGTAACATTTTTATTAGTTTTTTTTAAAGATACGCGCAACAAATATCTTCCCAAATTCGTAATGAGTATCATTTATAAATCTGCATGCTGTAGTCAACAAAAAGAAGCACTGAGATCTTCCTGGGGGTTTCTGCCAAAATAAAAGCTAAGAAAAAGCAACAACTCCATCAACATTCATAAATGTTAGTATTGTAATTTTACTGTTGTTCTGTAAAATAAAATAAAAAAGACAATGATAATGATAATAACCCTACAACAGCTCTATTAATAGGCCTACATTTATTATAACATTCACACACACCGTTCAAATTGGTATCTGTAATATATTCTAATGTTTTAAAAGAAGTCTCTTCTCAGCAAGGCTGCATTTATTTGTTCAGTAAAAAAACATGCCTGATTCAAGAAGGGGTCTCAAAAATGGCCAAATATATTATTTTACTAACTTGTTAATTTTACGTTAAACTGTGCTTTGTTGGTATAATGTCTGATATAATGTTAAAAAAATTTTATGTTTTTAAATTGTTGTTTTGTAATTGATTTTTTTTTTTTCATTTGACAAGCAGGACAAAACAGTAAAAAGCACATTGTGGCTATTTAATTTATGCAATGGTGAAAAAAAAAAAAAAAAAGGCGAAATAGGCCTACATGGGGGAAAGAAATGTGAAAAACCATGTTGGTATTCGGCCCAGTGTTTCATTTTGTTTGGCTTCGGTCAAGAATTTTCATTTCGGTGCATCCCTACATTCAACATTTCTCAAGATATTCACTAGAGTATTTAGAGGCAATTTTTTTAAAAATGGTGTTAATTTTTTTATTACACTTTTTTTCCTTATCGGTTTAATAGAAATATTAAACTTTAAAATATTAAACATAATAAAATGTTAATAGAAATTGTATTGATTATTGCAAGAAACAATATCTTTTGACAATTTTCTGTTGTAGTATAGAGTTGCCATATGTTAATGCTTCAAAAAAATCTCTTGTTATTTTTCAATGATAGATAGATAGATAGATAGATAGATAGATAGATAGATAGATAGATAGATAGATAGATAGATAGATAGATAGATAGATAGATAGATAGATAGATAGATAGGTAGACAGATCGATCTCACTACTTGGCCACAGTATTCTACTTGTTGCTGGATGACTAGTAGACCATCCTGACCCATCTAACATTTATGCAAAATAAATAGTTAGAGGCAAAACAGATGGAAAATTAGTATGGAAAATTATATTGGCATTTCCCCCGGTGGAGACACTAGCAATAGTGTTTAAAGGAATAATCTGAGTTGAAAACAAGTTCAGCTCTATATTATTTCCCCTGTGGTACAAAGTTAAAAGGATAGTTCATCTTCAGTTGGTCTCCATTGACTTCCATAGCATGGGGGAAAAAAACACTACGCAAGCCAATGGGGACCAACTGAAGGTGTACTATAACTTTAACCATCACAGACAAAAACAGTCTATGATCATAAAAAAATAATAATTCTAAAACCTGACTCTACAACGGTCCCAATTCAGTTCCAGTAAGGCTTACATTTGTTACATCACTTACATCAGTGGTTACATTTGTAAAGCATATGGGGTCAGACAGTAATCATTGAGAAATATTAAATATATTAATACATTTGTAAAGGTTTTTGGAAGGAGACCATATAATGACAGAATCGACAGAATCACTGACCTTGTAAAGTTTTATCCAATCTTACAACTTCTTCATCTTGATGACATAATGGCAGTAGTCCTAGTAACTTTTGCACAATATGCACAATGCTATTAGAAAGCTACACGAGGCTAGAACTGTTTAGCTATATATGAATATATATTGCATTATCAACATAATTCCTGTTGGTGGAGTGATATGTGATAACTAGGTTTTACTGAATAATTTACACATCTGCTTAAAAAAAAAAAACATACTTCATATTTTGACCTATTATACCCTCCTTAATATCCTTTGTAAGTGCTGCAGTAAGGAGTGACAGCCCCATATTCATTTCTCTGAGTGACAGCACAGTTATTCAGACTTTTGAATATCAGCATAAATCCACTTCGCAAATTATTCAAATTAAATATACAGTAGCTTCCCAAGCTACTCATTGTTAAACAACAGTTAAGCTGTACTTTTGAAATAGCTACATTAAAAATATTTAAGGGTGCATTATTTTGGTAACACTTTAGTATAGGGACCAATTCTCACTATTAACTAGTTGCTTATTTGCATGTCTATTAATAAAACATTGGCTGTTTATTAGTACTTATAAAGCACATATTCTGCATGACCATATTCTACATCCGTAATCCTACCCAATACCTAAACTTAACAGACAAATTAGTAGTTTATTGAGGCAAAAGTCGTAGTGAATGGTTTGTTAATAGCGAGAATTGGACATTAAAATAAAGTGTGACCATTATTTTTAACATATACACAACTGTTCCAAAATTTAGGGTCGTAATCATTGTAATCATTCATTTACGTACTGAGCAATATTAATTAACTACATGTACTTACTATATGGTTAGGTTTAGGATCAGGGTTACTTGCATGTAATTATGCATAATTTATTGTTATTATAATAGTAAGTATATGTAACTTGTGTAAAAAGGACACCTTAAAATTATTTTTCATAGTTAGTTCATGTGGTTAATTAATATTAACAAACAGGACCTTATTGTAAAGTGTTACTTTAATGCAGTTTAAATAAATTGTTTTCTATTTTAATATATTTATTGATGTGATGGCAAAACTGAATATTCAGCATCATTACTCACATGATCACATGAAATTAATCATTCTAATATGCTGAATTGGTGCTCAAGAAATATTATTATCATCAGTGTTGTGCTGCTTAATATTTTGTGGAAACAGTTTATTTTATAGGATTCTTCAGTGAAAATAAAACAGCATTTATTTGAAACAGAAATAACATTAACATTATAAATGTCTTAACTGTCACTTTTGATCAATTTAATTTAACATCTTTACTGAAAAAAAGTATAAATATAGGGTATTAAAAAAAAGTATAAAAAAAAAACCCTCACTAGCCCCAAAATTTGTCAAGCAAATCTTTATTATATCTGCACTAACAATTTCACTAAAATTAATTTTTCTAAACTTCCAAATGCTATACGATAGTGTGGACAGTTTAGGAGAGTGTGTTTGGTTTTTGCTCATTAGAGAGGCTAAATAATTACTCCGCTCACTCGACTGTAAAGCTGCATGAGAAATATAAACAACAGCAATGTATACTTTTGTCATGCTATATTGCTATATTTTGGGGGG